ACTTTGTTTTGTTTTTTTATAACCTGTTCTGAAAGTCAGCCCTTTCCTTAGAGAGTATAAGCTACTACATTCATAGTTATAACTCATATGTTTGGCTGCTAYTCTATCACTTTGATTTATACTTTTATATGCTACTTAATGTGTTTAAAGTTATTTGGTCAAACAGGTCTATTTGGTAGCATGTCTCTCTTGCTTACTAATTAATCTTGTGTGTGGCTTTAAGGCTATTTACATGAATAATATTCTGCAGGTGCTGTTCCTGAAGTCAAAGAAGAGAAGCCACAGCCACAGTCAAAAGCACATTTTGGAGCTGTGGAAGAAACATTTAGAATTGTTAAGGACTCTCTCAGTGATGATGTGGTTAAAGCCACACAAGCAATCTATCAGTTTGAACTCTCAGGTAAGGACTGTGTTGGATAATCTGAGGCTATTATGAAACAAGGTAGAATGTTTCTTTTGGAAGAAAATCAGTCTACAATGGTGATAACCTGAATACTTGACTGTATTTAACATGCTTGAATGTAGACATTCAAGAATACTGTTGATTTCTAAGCTAAGATCAATGAATATGGATGCATGCAAAATAGTTTTATTACATATACTTCCAGTGTTAAATAACAACTTGATAATGGAGAAGAAAATTCYATGCTGAGAGGCATATGCATCATGACAGGGAGTGCAGTGCAATAATTTATCAATCGTGAGCAACTTAGTATTTTTATCTTTGATATTACTCAGATCAGTCTGAGTATAGTCAGCTTTTAAAAACCTCTTAATGTTTTTCTTTTCCACATAGTAAAATTAACACAGGTTAATGKTAGTCCTCAGAAGTAACTACCACAGTTCCATTACAGAAACTTTTGCATTCCATGTCTCCTGAGTTATTTAACATATTCCTTTTTTTTAAAGAGAGAGAGAGGATTTTTTTTTAATATTTATTTTTCAGCTTTTGGCGGACACAACATCTTTGTTTGTATGTGGTGCTGAGGATCGAACCCKGGTAGCGAGCGTGCTACCCCTTGAGCTACATCCCCAGCCCTATTTAACATATTCTTGCCTTTGTGTTTTCACTTCCTTTTTGTCCTTGGAATCCATGGTTCATTGCTTCAGTCACTCTCTAGCCTGTGTCCTAAACTTGTCCCAGACCCTTTGTCTTCATGTTGTTATCTGTCAAAGGCCCTGTAGTCTCAGTTGAATCATCAGACTATCTGAGAGCTTCATAGTTGCATTAAGGCTGCTAAGCCCTGTTGAAGAAAAGGAAAAAAAAAATCAGGTCTGCACCAGTAGAAGTTCATCAGTGTCCCTCTTCAAATGGTACCTCAAGTAATACTTCTTCAAGTAGCACCTCAGAATTCTGTTTTCAGCCACTGCCTTATTTTCCACAGCAACTATTTTAAACCCTTTCAGAAGGCTACAGACAGAAATTGCTCTTCTTCCTACCATCAGATATAAATTAACCATTATAGGTTCCTCCTTCCCTCCTGTATAATGGAGCACATCCCTCCATCTTTAATKTCTGTACTATCCTGAGTGCCTAGAGTCGTACTCAAATGCAGAATCTGATCCAGTTGGTCTGGGGTAGAGTCTAAGATTGTGATTTCTGACAGGTGGTGACAGTATTACACCTCATGAATGTCACTTTCAGTAGCAAAATTCTAGGTGTTTTCTCTGTCCATCTCAGGAATTATGTTGTTCATCATGCCTTCTTCAACCTGCTCATCCTGCAGCCTCCTTCCCAGTGATATTTTAATGTTTCCAAGCCTATTCTGTCTTTAAAACAGAGCATAGCAGCAGTAACAAACCACACACCCTGTCTTTCTCTCCCTTTCAGAGCCAAACTTACTTTCATCTGCAACTCACACTCTGGACACTGCTCTCTTATCATTTATCCCTCCCTGTTCCATAGACTTGACTTTCACCAGGGACCTGGATGGACATTCATGCCACCAGTGGGCATTTGTCCATCCTACCTGTGACCACACTGCAGCTTCCGAGGCTGTTGACTACTCCTTCCTTCTGGAAATGCCCCCTTTCCTTGKTTTTATTCCCCACCTCCTTTGCTAGATGCTTCTCCTCTATCCTTCCCTTAACACTGTATCCTTTAGGTTGCTATCTTAGCACTCCTTATACTTTATACAGATTTGTTTGAGGAAACTCCAATCATCCCCTGGTTTCAATGACCATATGAACTGATTAATCATATATTTACATTTCTAGCTTAGTCGGATTTCATTTGACTTTTTTTTTTTAATGTTGTAGTTGGACACAATACCTTTATTTTACTTATTATTTATTTTTATGTGGTGCTGAGGATCAAACCCAGGGCCTCGCACATGCTAAGCRAGCCCACTATCTCTGAGCCACAATCCCAGTCCTTCATTTGACATTTTAATTTGGCTGTCCCAAAGATWCCTCTATCTGAAAATGTTCAAAACAACACAATATTTCCAATACCTGCATTTGCTGTTCTTCTAATTAGTCCTTTCTCAGTAAACCCAACACCCATTTTTGCCCAAGTTCCCAAGCCAGAAAACTAGCAGATCAGTCCTGTGCACGCGGCCCACCTTTCCTTCTGCATACTTGGTCCRTTTTCTGGCTTTGAGGTTCTGCTTTGAAAATTTCTCTCAAGTATGCCCATTTGTCCTCATCCCCATGGTCACGATCCTGATCCAGGGATCACCTTCAAGCTCACAAATGATCCCACCAATGTCCTTACTAGTCTTCTCCATCCTCTTCATCCCTTTCTAATGTATCACCTGCACTGAAGGTAGGGTGAGCTATTTAAGATGCAAACCTTATTGTGTCATTTTCCTTCCATGGTGACAAAGGATGAGGGATGAAGTTACTAAATCCTTTACGTGGCTCACTGTGTCCCCCACCGAGAGTGCCTTATGAGTGAGTCTGGTGCCACTGTCCTCCAGTCCTACAGTACTGTTTTCAGGTCCAGTTCCTCACACAGGCTTCATGCCCTCCTTTTTTTTTTTTTTTTTTGTATTGGGGATTGAACTCAGGGGCACTTAACCACTGAGCCCATCCCCAGTCCTTTTTTATATTTTATTTAGAGATAGGGTCTGTCTGAGTTTCTTAGAGACTCCGCTAATTTACTGAGGCTGGCTTTGAAAAGTGTGACCCTCCTGCCTCAGCCTCCTGAGCCTCTGGGATCCTGCCCACTTAATTCTGTTGATGGTTTTGTTTTTGTTTTACATATCCTGTTTTCATTGCCTGAGGTATTTTCCCTCTTCCCTGTCCAACTAACTAATTCTTACTTAACTTTCAAAGTTCAGCTTCAACTGGGCTTTCCTGGCCCTAGTGGTTTTTTTCCCCCCTAGGTGTGTTGGGTGTTGGGGATTGAACCATGGCCTTGAACATGCTAGGTGAGCCCTTCTACCACTGAGCTATATACTCAGCTAAATCAATTTTTTGTTATTATGGTAAAATACAAATAAAAGTTGCTAATTCCTTTCAAGAGTACAGTTACATTCACCTTGTTTTACAACCATCTCCAAAACTTTTTCATCATCCCAAACTGAAGTTCTATACTCCTGAAATAATAACTTCCCATTTTCTCCTGTTACTGGTACTTAGTAATCCCGTTTCTTCTTTTATTAGTACGTTCATACATCACCTTCCATTTCCTCTCTTATTGTGAGAACAGTGTTTTTTTTTTTTTTAACATTTTACTAGTTGTTGATAGACCTTTATTTATTTATATGTGGTGCTGAGAATCGAACCTAGTGCCTCACACATGCTAGGCAAGCGCTCTACCACTGAGCCCTTGCCCCAGCCCAGGGAACAGTGTTTCTCTTATCTTATTGAAGGCTCTTTGGAACCTAGCACCTTGAAACAAAATAAGTGCTCAATAAATATTTGCTGTTTGGAAGATTATTCTAAGTATTAATTATTAATATTTGGAAGATTATTCTAATCATAATAATTGTTTATTTCTATATATTAATCTCTATATAGGTGAAGATGGTGGCACATGGTTTCTGGATTTGAAAAACAGGGGTGGGAATGTTGGACACGGAGAGCCCTCTGATAAGGCGGATGTGGTGATGAGTATGTCCACTGATGATTTTGTCAAAATGTTTTCAGGTAAGTTTTCAATTTTGTTAGTTCGCTTGTTGTTCATGGAGAATTTAGTTCTAATATTTTACTTTATTCTTTTCCAAAGAATCAAGACTCATTAATGTTTGTTTTGGAATCTCAGCCTCGATTTATGTTGAAGAGCATAGTTTGGGGAAGGCTATTCTTACTGTTGCCCCTATGGTCACTTCTGTCTTACTCAACAAATGGAAAAGATGGCAGAATTTTTTTTTTGACTGAGAAGCTAATATAAGACATAATGTTAGAAACAGGGATAGTTCAGACGGACTCCTAGGTGTGCTTCATCCTGGTAGACGGATTAAGATATTTCCAATARTGCCATGGTTACTGGAGATGTCATACTCAGCAGCAGTTCATTTATTGAGAGTGGATCATGCTTTAGTCTTGCCAACTGTTGCAATAAGAAAATGYCAGCCCTCTGCCATGGCACTGCTTTCTGTGGAACCCCCAACTCAGGAACCTTTTGCATGATTTTCTGTCTGTCCGTTTACTTCTAACAATGTCCGAAAAAAATAAAGGATAATTTGTTCTGTTTTCTATTCTTAGAACTCTATTCCAATTGGTACGTTCATTAACAAATTCTAAAGTGTTAGCAGCACTTTAAACTAAGGTATTATAATATTCCAAAGTCTTTCATAAAATGAATTATAAATGTTATGCATATTTTGTTCTGTTTTAATCTTGACAAGTAGGATCACAGTGTATCCTGAACCCTCTAAGTCTTGCTTTCCAATTCTAATCAAGGATGCCTGTGGCCTGCATTCAGTTTGAGCCAATCTGATGTCTTTATGATCAAGATTTCTTTAACTTTCCCCATTCCTTGTAGTAGGGTTAAACATACAAAAATAAGAAAATATGCTTAAGAAAAAAGAAAACAATTATTTTTTATTACACCACTGAAAAATGACCATCAATTAATTTAGTGTAGCATCATACGTATATATTTGTTTGTGTGCATGTGAATGTATATAATATAATGTATGCTTATTAAAAACAAGATGATACTACTGAAAAATAAGATTGTACTACTGTTTGGTAATCTTCACATTGTGCTTTATAGAGCATCTTTCAGTATTAATAGTTATCTCTTTATTCATTTTAAATAGTTTAGTGTGTGTTTAGGGTTTTAAATACTTTCTTCATAGAGCTTAAACTTGTTTTGGACACAAAAGTATTTGATAAATTTTTAGTGAATATGGATCTTACGAATATTTTTTAAACTTAAAGATCATTTAAAAATTTATTGTCAACTTGTAAACTGAAATGACAGTAATTATATCCAATAATTACTGTCCTTTGGGATAAAATATGTTCTTCATTTTATGAAGATAGAGACTGAGACTTTGATGAATTAAATAACAAGCCCAAGATAGGGAGTGATAAATGTTGGACACAGGATTTGAATCCAAGCTAAGTCCCCAAAACTCATTCTTTTAATTATTGTGCTCTGATGATCTTCAAAGGTGAATCAATGGCCTCTTTAATTTACCTGTCCTTACATAGCATAAACTAGAAATAATGGGCTTTTCACTTATATATTTCTGTGAATGTGCTCTTGCATTGACTAGGAGAGGTAGGCCAGCCTTTGAATATTTTTCAAAAGATGTAAGTTATTATGAGGTGTATTTTGTAGCAATGGTTTCACCTGGGAGCAAGTGAGTTTGCTCTTTCATTCTTAGCTATTGATCTCATCTGCTTTTCTTTAAATGGGTACAATTTAGACCTTACAGCCTAAGAATTCTACTTTTAGAAACCATAGGCATTTCTATGYCTTTTTGTATAGTAGATACATTATGAATATAAAAACTTAAAGCAGCTAGTAAACAAATTATCACAATCTCTTCTTTTGGCCAGCAGAGGCCACTGTGTGGTAAATCAATAAGATAGAAATAAATTTTAGCAAGACATAGTGGTACGTGCCTGTAGTTCCAGCTACTAGGGAGGCTGAGCCAGGGGAATCACTTAAGCCCAGGAATTTGAGATTAGCTTGGGCAACAGAGAGAGACTCTGTCTCTTAAAGGAAGGAAGGAGGGAGGAAGGAAGGAAGGAAATGTGTTTGTGCCAGGTGAGGTGGTGCACACCTATAATTCCAGAGGCTTGGGARGCTGAGGTAGGAGGATTTCGAGTTCAAAGCTAGCCTCAGAAGCTTAGTGAGGCTGTAAATAACTTAGTGAGATCCTGTCTCAAAAGAAAATATAAAAAAAAGGCTGGGGATGTGGCTCAGTTGTTGAGTGGCCTTGGGTTCAGTCTCTGGGAARGATGGAAGGAAGGGAGGGAGTATATTGTACTTAATAGCTATTTTTAAAAGTTTTAAAAAATAGTATTGTTGAAGTATAAAATTACATACTATAAAATTCATCATTATCAGTTATATGTACATACTATAAAATCCATCATTTTACGTTACATGTACATGATTTTTAGTAAATTTCTAGAGTTGGTCAAACATTACCACAACATAATTTAACAATATTTTCCTTATACCAAAAAAAATCATCTCTGAAGTTGACCCCTATTTCCACTGTACTCCACCCCGCCCTCAGCTAGCCAAACACTATTGTTCTCTGTCTCTACAGATATTTTGTATAAATGGAATCAGAAAGTTTGAAGTCTTTTGCACCTGGCTTCTTTCACTTAGCATAAGGCTTTTGAGAGTCAGCCATCTGCGTTGTAGCATGTCTCAGCAGTTCACTTCCTTCTTATGGGTGCATAGCATTCTGTTGTAGAGCTCTATCTCTATCCTCACACCGTTTATACCCTTAACCAGCTGATGGACATTTGAATTGTTTCAAGTTTTTGGTTGTTATGAATATTGCTACTCTGAATATCATCATACATGTATTTGTATGGATGTATATTTTCATTCCTCTTTGGTGAATTTCATTGGGTTATATGGTAAGTTGATTTAACTTTTTAAGAAACAACCAAGGGCTGGGGTTGTAGCTCAGTAGTAGAGCGCCTGCCTAGCCTGTGTGAAGCACTAGGTTCAATCCTCAGCACCACTAAAAAAATAAACAAAGTTATTAAAAAAAATAATAAAGAAAAGAAACAATCAAACTGGTAAAGTGGCTGCACCATTGTTACATTTCTAACAACAGTGTATGAAGGTTCCAATTTCTCCACATTCTCACCAACACTTTTTTTTTCTAATATTTATTTTTTAGTTGTAGTTGGACACAATACCTTTATTTTATTTGTTTATTTTTATGTGGTGCTGCGGATGGAACCCAGGGCCTCATATGTGCTAGGCAAGTGCTCTACCACTGAGTCACATGACCCCAGCCCCCCTCTCACCAACACTTATGATTATCTTTTTTATTATAGGCATTTCAGTAGGTATGTAGTAGTATGTCATATGGGTTTCTTATTTTTATTTGTTAAATATGGAACAAATAAATTTGCATGTCATCCTAGTGCAGGAGCCATTGGTAATCTTCTCTGTATCATTCCARTTTTATATATGTGCGTCCGAAGGGAGCATTAACTCACATTTAACTTGGAAAACCTTAATAATTATGTTGAACATCCTTTCCTATGTTTTATAGTATATTTGGTGAACTATCCATACAGTTTGCTCCTTTCTAAATTGAGTTCTTTTTATTATTGAATTAGAAGAAATCAAGATTGTCTTTTTATTTTCAGTGGTAGGAGTATTTATAAATTCTGGATATATGTTCCTTATCAAATACTCTTTCCCAGTCTGTGGTTTGTCTTTTCATTTTCATAGTAGTATATTTTATATTACAAAAGTGTTTTGTTTTGATAAAGTCTTTGATATGTTTTTTTCCAGTATGGTTGTTGTTTCCCCTRAGCATTTTATTCTTTTTTATGTTATTGTGTATGGAATTGTTTTGTTAATTTTATTTTTGAATTACCTGTTCCTGATGCACATAAATATAATTAATTTTTGTGTATTGATTTAGTATCCTGTAAATTAATTTGTGAAGCCATTTGGAGCTCAGATTTTGTGGGAAGATTTTTAATTACTAATTCAGTATCTTGTTATATGTCAATAGCTTTGATTTTAATGACTTCATCAAGGCGTAATTCATATACTCACACATTTCACCCATTTAAAGATTTATAATTCAGTGGTTTGTCACAGTTGCTTTTTGAACACTTTCATCACCAACAAAACAAAACAAAACAAAAAACACCTCATACCCTATCTCTCTATTCCTACCTCTAGCTCTAAACAACCACTAATCAACTTTCTTTCCCTAGATATGAATAGGATTACTTAATATGGGATCTTTTGTGACTGATCTCTTTCACTAGTTTTATAATGTTTTCAGGTTTCATCCTTGAGGTAGCATATTTTAGTACTTCAGTCTCTCTCTCTCTCTCTCTCTCTCTCTCTCTCTCTCTCTCTCTCTTTAAAGGAAGTGAAATTCACACATGCAAACAACCATTTTGAAATGATCCATGACATTTAAAGCATTCACAGTGTTACCAGCACTTCTGTAGTTTCAGGACTTCTTCACCACCCCAGAAGACACCTTGAACCATTTAAGTAATCACTACCCATTCCTGCCTCCTCCTGGCAACCACTAATCTGCTTTCTTTCTCTACTGATTTACATTTTGTGGCTATTTCATATAAATAGAATCATATGTGATCTTTTGCATCTGGCTTCTCTCACCTAGCATAATGTTTTTGGGGTTCATCCAAGCTGTAGCATGCATCAGCACTTCATTTCTTTTTATGGCTGAGTAAAATTCCATTGTATGAATAGACCACAATTTGTTTATCCATTCATCTGCAGACAGACAATTAGTTTGTTTCTACTGTTTGTTAGGAATAATGCTCCTACAAACATTCACAGGCAAGTTTCTGTGTGGACATTTGTGATAGGTCTCTTCCYCAAAGTGGAATTGCTGGGTCATATAGTAATTCTACATTTAAGTTTTCAAAGAATTGCCAAACTGTTTTTCAAAGGGGCTGCACTATTTACATTTCCATTAGCAATGCATAAGGGTTTCTGTTTCTTCATACCCTTGCCCTCATCAGCACCTATTGTTTTTTAATTTTATGGGGTTTTTGTTTATTTATTTTTTTTGTTATTGCCATCCTAATGGATATGAAGTTGCATCTGGTAGTTTTGATTTGCATTTACATAGTAGCTAAAAATACCTAACGTTTTCCATTTTTTCATGTGTTTATTGGTCATATGTATAACTTTCTTTTTCTCTCATCTTCATCTTTAAATTGGGTTGTCATCTTGTTTCTTTTCTTTTTATGGTGCTGGGTATTGAACCTAAGGTCTTGCACATGCTAGGCAAGCACTTTACCACCAAGCTACATCCCAGCCCAGGTTATTTATCTTTTTGTTATTGAGTTTTAAGAATTCTTTGTATATTTACAAAATTGTGATTTGCAAATACTTTCTCCCATTTTTTTGTAGTTTTTTTTTTCACTTTCTTTTTTTTTCTTTTTAAATGTGAGCAAGAGCCTTTATTGTGCTTTTGCAGAAAGGCAGGGTAGGCAGGCTTAGGATTGGAAATGTAGCCCTTTATTTGTGTATTTGTTTCTGCCCCCCAGGTTGGGGGCGGGTGCTTGAACCCAGGGCCTCGAATATACTAGGCAAGCTCTCTACCACTAAGCTACAACCCTAGCCCATCTTTTCACTTTTTGATGAATATTTTGAAGCAAATATTTTTAAATTTTTATTTATTTATTAGCAGTGCTGGGGATTGAACCTAGGGCTTTCTACATGAGTGGCTAGTGCTGTGCCACTCAACTGTATCCTAGCCTTTTTATTTTATTTTTTGAGATAGGATCTTGCTAAGTTCCCAGGACGATTTTGCTTTTGTGATCCGTCTGCCTCAGTCTTCTGAGTAGTTGGAATTAATAGGCATGTACAACCAACCACACCTAGCTAAAGTTTTTATTTTGATAGACACCAGTTTATATATTTTTTCTTTTGTTGCTTATGCTTTTTGTGTCATATTTAAGAATCTTTGCCAAACTCAAGGTTAAATATTTACCACTAAATTTTCTTCTAAGAATTTTTAGTTTTAACTCTGATTTAAGTCTACAATCCATTTTGAATTAAATTCGTATATGGTTTGATACACATTTTCCAGTAGCTTCCAGTGGTTTCATTCTTTTGAATATCATATCCAGTTATCCCAAAACCATTGAATAGGCAGTTCTTTCCCTCATTGAATGGTCTTGGCACTCTTGTTGAAGATCAATTGACCTTAAGATATATGGGTTTAGTTAAACCTGTAAATGTACAGGTAAATCTAAATATATAATCAACATGTGGTTCAATATTTCTACTCTTAAAAAGATTTGAAAATAGACACTCGATAAATAAATAAATAAAGGCACATGTGTTGCTCACAAAGGTTCCATTCACAGTAACCAAAAGGTGGAACAACCCGAATGTCRATCAACAGATGAATGAACAACTTGTGCCATGTATACACTATATACAATGGAATAACCTTCAACCATAAAAAGGAAGTTCATCCAACATGGATGAACCTTGAAAACATTACACTAAGTGAAAGAAGTGAAACACTAAAGATCTCATGTTGTGTGAATCCTTTGTATAAAATATCTAGAGTAGGTAAGTCTCTGGAAACAGTTAATTGGTATTTGTCAGGGTCTGGAGAGAGAAGGAATTACTGATGTGAAATCCATATAGGGTTTCCTTTTGGGATAAAGAAGATGTTTTGGAACTAGGAAGATACAGTGGTTGTGTACAATGTTGTGACTATTTAAATGCTACTGAATTGTTGCCCCTTTATATAAGGGCACTAATTCTCCCATGGAATTTCTACCCTCAAATGTTCATCTAAACCTAATTAACTCCCACAGACCCCACCTCCTGACACCGTCCCACTGGTGTTGGGGCTTCAGGATACGGAATTTGGAGGGACACATACGTACTTAGCAAAGCCTTCCTATGATCTTCCCAGGGCTTTCCCCCTCACAACTACTTGATGCAGTTGCTCTGTTGTCAGATGTGTCAGACTGTCCTTCAGGCTACTTTTTCCTGGAGCCCTTTGTCTTCATGTTCCAGTCTGAACTGTAGATCTACAAGCTGCTCCACAGCTGTTGTCTTAGAAGTTCAGTTAACTCCTCAACATTGAATTTATTTCCAGGATTTCGTGTCTTCTTTCTTAGGTTTACATTTTTATTATGGCGACACATGTTCTCCTCTAGCTATGTGAGAGGATATGTTTGAGGTACTTTTTATATGTCTCTGAAGCTATTTTTATTCTACTAACAATCTTGATTGATTGGCCGGGTAGAGACATCTGAGTTGAAATTCACTTTCTCTTAGAATTTTGAAGCTTTGACTCCCATCTTCTAAGATTACAGTTGAGAATTTGATCCTATTCTTGTTCTTAATCTTGCCCTTTCTGAAAGTGAATCAGATTCATCTTTGTGGTGTTCCCAAATTTCACAGTGATTCAAAGTAGCCTGGTCATTTTTTCTGACTCTCTTGGGTGCTTGGGTCCTTGAAATGTTCTTATAGTATTTCCTTGATATTTCTGAAGAAAAGGTTAGATGTGATTTCATCATCATTTTTTTCTATTGTATAATTTATTTTACTTTCCAGGAGATCAACTTACTTTCTATTGCATTTTAATATTAAGAATCAAAACTTTAATTTTCAAGACCTCACTTTTGTTTTCCAATGGTTTTCTTCTTTGGCTGCCTCCTTTCTCTTCCTCACTCTGCTCCACTCACCTCTTCCCATCTCTTACTATCTTTGGTTTTCTCTTTGCCCTCCCTCTTTCCCCTTCCTTTGTTCATCCCCGCCTCTTTTTTTTTTCCATCTTTCCTGTGCTTCTGGTCTCCTTTGCTTGTTTTAGTTTTCTTTCTTCTGCACATGCATCCTTCCTCTTTCAGTCACCTTTATCCATGTTTTTGCTTTTTTTTTTTTTTTTGGTCTCATGATATCCATTCATCCATGGACAAAGCTTTATAAAGCTGATTGGAAGCTGTGTTATGTACTGATAGACTTCACTATATTATAGAGTGGCAGAGCAGTGAGCACAGTTGCCCAGATGGTAGAGTTTGTAAGTTTTTGGAGGGGCTGTTCTTGTTTCTTCAAAGAATAAAGACCTTTCAGTATCTTCCATGTAAGTGAGTGTTATTCTTTCTATTATTTATAAGTTTAGATGTTTTAACATTTTCTTTTAGAGAGGCACAGCTCAAAAAAGAAGGGGACTTGATTCTTTCCATCTGTAACCAATTTATGAGGGTTTGTAACCCTTATTTAGAATAATTTAAAGGCGTCTACTAATAGATGTACAAAATACATTAACCTGTACWCTGTATGTGGTACCTGGGTGGAGGGTGTGAGCAACTAATGCATGGACATGTAGCGTGTCTTCTAGGACATATGAGCAACATATAAACTGGCATACAATAAGGCAGGAAATCGTAAATGAGTTCTACATACACAATATGTGACCTTGGGCAAGTCAAAAYCCTCTCCTGAGCCTCAGTTCTTTTCATGAATTCCACTGTATGCCAGACTGTGAGTGACACTGGAATAAAATAGCAGATAAAAAACAAAGCTCCTAGCCGGGTGGAGTGGTGCACACYTGTACTCCCAGTGGCTCCAGAGACTGAGGCAGGAGGATTGCATGTTCAAAGCCAGCCTCAGCAAAGGCGAGGCCCTAAGCAATTCAGTGAGACCCTGTCTTTAAATAAAATACAAAATAGGGCTAGGGATCTGGCTTAGTGGTTGAGTGCTCCTGAGTTCAATCCCCAGTATCCCGTCCCCATCCCCACAAAAAAAGATAGCTCCTTCTCTCCACAGAGCTAATATTTGTTATCTTCTTTATTAGCTACRGTTCATCCCTTTGTTCATGTGTTTTAACACTCACATTTTTTAAATACTGTGGCATTTCTATTTCTAGGATTGAAATAATATTAGCACATACTTCTGTGTCCATACATTATATTTAATGGTCACTTAAAATATTTTATGCATTTACACTATTTAATTACCYGAATTTAAACGTTGAAAGGGCTAAAAGTGTAATAAACTATAATAGATTGGAAAATTAAACAATGATAGTATTTGTTTACCAGAATTTACTTGGACTCTGTTTCTTTTACTTCTTTTTTTTGTTTTGTTTGTTTGTTTGTTGCTGATGGACTTTATTTTTTATTTATTTATATGTGGTGCTGAGGATTGAACCCAGAGCATCATGCATGCCAGGCGAGCCCTCTGTCACTGAGCTACAATCCCTGCCCCACCATGTTTCTTTTAGTGTAGAACTACTAGAGGATGTTTAAATATTCCATCTTCAGCTTTTTTGTCATAATCTTTGCTGATTGTTGATATTTTTTACATTACCTCTTGTGTTATAGGATTTTGTTAACATATAAATCTAGGAATTGAAATTCCCTAGATACTGATATAAAAGGCTGTAATAGAAATTTCTATGCTTCTGAGAGTTTTAGAACTCAAAAGAGAGTCTTTTTATGATTCATATTCTTGAAGTGATACATCCCTAAGGGCACTAAATAGTTGCTTACCTCTCTCATTTTCTCATTTTAGGAAAACTAAAACCAACAGTGGCATTCATGTCAGGAAAATTGAAGATTAAAGGAAACATGGCCCTAGCAATCAAATTGGAGAAACTAATGAATCAGATGAATTCCAGACTGTGATGGCAAAGAACAAAAATGTTGACTGCTACGCATAAAAAGTAAAAAAAAAAAAAAAAAAAAAAAGAAAAAAACCAAAAAAAAAAAAAAACCTCAACAATTAAAAATCTAATGTTGTTGTCTTCCCTATTGTATGTTAAAAATGTGCATGTCTATTCTGGAAAAAAATAGATTAAATAAGACTCAAAATCGAATTGAAAGCGCCAGCCTAATGGGTGCAATGGCTCATGCCTATAATCCCAGTGACTTGGGAGGCTGAAGCAGGAGGACCATAAGTTTGAGGCTAGCCTGGGCAATTTAGCAAGAGGCTATCCCAAAATAAAAAAGGGTTGCAGATATAGCTCAGTGGTAGAACATTACCTGGGTGCAATTGCCAGTGCTGAAAAAAACAAAAGTACGAAAATGGTATAGCTACTTAAAAATCAAAACAAAACAAAACCAGGTAGCCAATCAAATATAGACTTCACTAAGTAGATTTCCAAGACATTCTGTTTTCTATATTTTGAGGGGTTTTCCTCTGAGCCTTATGTCTCTTTCATTGTCTTCTAGTAAGAAAAGTACATATTATGAACAACCAATCAGGATAAAGCAGTAAAATTGATCATTTACAAAGCTTCTTCTGATATAAATTGAAGCTAATTTGTATTAAAATTTTAAATTTTGGATTGTATACTAATGTAAATCTTAATGTTTTGGATTTTTGTAAGCTTATTTTATCGAAAATATCTGCTTTTCACACAAGTAAACTGCTTAATAAATACTGCTTGTAAAAGCTAATGGAATAAAGTTTTTCATTTTGTTAACTAGCTTTTCAGATATAGTAATCTTCAGGAAAATATTAATGTAATTCAACTAATTGCAGKATGTATTCTATTTAAGATATGTTTAAAAAAAAACCCTACTTTCTTTTGCTATTRATTTGCCTGATCTGGATATTYCATATAAATGGAATCATGTAGGACCTTTTGTGACTAATTTTTCCTTAGTATGTTTTTAAGGTTCATCCATGTTYCTTATGGTTTGGATTTTTAATGTCCCTAGAAAAGCTCAGGTGTTAGGCAATGCAGGAATGTTCAGAGGTGAAATGATTGTAGATTATGAGAGCTATA